CCAATCAAAAACAGGCAGTAGGAGGGCGGGGGTAGAGTGGGAGGACATGCAATCAAAGCCTTTCATTGGGCAAAGAGAATGCAAACATTTGGGCAGCAGTAATTGGATGCTTTTGGAGGGGTGAGCTCATGCAGAACAGCGAAGAATGCTGCTGGGCTTCTGGATGCCCCCAAAAACATGTGCTATCAGCCCCCAGCATTTAAAGCGGTCGATCCACAGATGAAAGTGACGGGAAGCATATTATTGGATACCTCACCGGAGTAATCAAGAAAGTCTTTCAAGCACAATGGATGGAAAAACAATTAGCCTGTGTGCGAGTGAACGGACTCAAAGGCACTGGATGGAGCTGATAATGTTGACCAACCCCCCGCACCTACGTCAACGTCTTCATATATGGCTGTCAGGCCACCCCCTCGGGGGGGGGGGGGGGGGGTGGTGCATTTTGCAGCAAGTGGGTCGGTGAGGCCTTATTAAGCATATGGAGGGAGATCAAAGGGTCTGGGGGGGGGGGGGGGGGGCGGGGGGGGGGGGGGGGGGGGGGGGGGGGGGAAAGGGTCCCAATAAAACAAGTCAGCTCACCAGTAAAATTATGTGTGGCGCTGGAGGGTATGGGCAGGGAAATCTTTCCACCGATAGGCTCAGTAGTTTCATGCGGCCAATCAGATAGACCCACGCTGGCAGGATGCCCCTATGAGCCAATTACAATTAAATTACTCTGTACGTAAAATCACTGCAGTACATGTGAAGTGAAAACAATTACAGAACAAATGATACAAATCTATATGCTAAACAAAACGACTGGGCCAGATAAGTGCTACAGACATATTGCAAACTCAAATACTGCCCATTATCAATGCACAAAGGGAGCAGATTCAGACAGAAGTTCAACTGCCCCCCTGTAATCAACGCTTTTGAAAGCAAACCACACACTTTCATCACAGGTGCTCTCTGCATCCTGTCAGCGCTCACATCGGACTACAAAGGGTCTTAAAACCGAAAATAAAAACATCAACAAACTTCAATCACCGTGGAGCAATGATTAACTAGAATCTTCAGTGAGGGAAAAAAAATTCCACTGGGAAGTCTTTCAGTTACAGTTTGTTATCAGGCTTTAGTCAGGTGTGAGATATGGAGTCACTGACACCTTGAGCTTAACGTAACTGCCTCTCGGACACCAGCTTCCTCTAATCAGCCGATAAGCGCCGTGAGTTTGCTTAGCTAGTCATATCTGTGGGTGTAAAGATACGATTACAGTGTAGCTATGCTCTTTCTGGTTACTTTAATGAGCTTAAACGAGTTACATTAAATCGGAGCCCCTCCTTTCTCCACCTCCGCGGACATGACCTGAGCGATAAGCATGGCGTGCACATGTGAGCGGCGAGGCATCATGGGTTCGGAAGTTTCTGGAACCCCGCGCTCAATCCATGACCTCGAAGGTATGTGTGGATGCCTACGGCTCATTCGAGGATGGGAGCAACAGCCTGCCGGCCGGCTTTGGTCGGGTTTAAACCCAGAACCCGATAACGGCTTGGGCTGTTATCTGCTGTTACAGGGTTGTTGCTAGGATACATAGAACCTCTAAATTGCCCATAGTGTGTAGTTAGTGAGTGTGGGTATGTGAGTTTATGTTCCCTGAGTTGTTCTCTGCCCTGTGTCTTATGTTGTCTGGCAGAGGATATAAGGACCCCACGACCCTGTAAAGGATTAGTTATTGGATGGATGGATCGTCCAATTAAAACAAGGACAGGAAGGGGCAGCAGAAGGTGAGCGATACATGTGTGCCTGTCCCTTGCTCTTTTATCTCCGCCAGAGCTGCTTTCCTGCCGCTCAAGTTCAACCCGAGAAGCGTCTGCAGGCCAGATGTGCAGGGCAGACATTCACAGCGGACACAGACACCTGCCGTCCCGAACACATCGCACTGGGTCTGTTTGTGGCCAAACTCCAGTGCAGAACATGGATGGTGCTCTTGGGCTTTGGGGTCCCAATTCTACCCAACACACATACAAATACGCTCACACCCAAACACATATTCGCGTTGTTTGCATTTCTGTGTTTTGTGGGACTTCCCGCTGGCTTTCGCTTTGATGCAGCTGGCAAGCCCTCGCTCCAGTGAAAGAAAATGAAAGAAATGACAGTCGGTACAAAACAAAAAGCTGTGGCTTTACCAAGAACGGGCAGTTTTTTTGGACGCCCCACATGTGACCAAAAGGGCCACAAAATCTCAGCACACTCTCACTGAATCAGACAAAAACAGCCGCTGACATTCTGGACAGCTCTTGGGGGGCTCGTGACAGCTTGACGAAGAGCCGTCGGGGCGCCGTGTTCCCACAGAGAAGTGAGCGAAAGAGTGGCCAATCACGTGTCATAATGAGGCATGGGTGGGGCTTATAATGGCTCATTGAACAATCGTCTCCCTTTCTCACAATCAGCAGTAAGACAAGTTGTCAGCTCTATGGATTTCTTACAAAGGATCTGGGAGGCAGGGAGCAAGGTCCAGAAAAGCCATTGAACCAAAGTGTGAAATGACTAAACATCCTTTTCATACGCTATGTAACAATTGTTTTTATATAACAGAACAATAACAAAAGACTTAAACACGATCACCAGCCAAAAAGGAACATATACACAGTGAAATACCAGCCTTCTTACACAGTTTTTAAATTAAGCTCAGATGTAAAACAAAACAACAGATGACACCTTTGCCAAGATCATGTGTGAATTGGGCTGTAGGTTCCTCACCAGTTACATCATGGTAAACCGGAGTCATGGTTCTCAAATAAACTTATAAAATACTCAGCATGACATAAACAAAGGTGCACATAACATATACTCACAAATGTCAGTGAATACTAACCCATTAATCCCAGCGCTTTTTAGAATTCTATAACCTCAAACTAACCACCAACAATCAGAAGTGAGCGCTCATTTCACCCAGTGTTCCTGTGAACAGCTTCAAAATTAAACTTCCCAAATTTACCCGCCACATGCTTGTTTACAGAGTAAATTTATGTACATGAGAAGACAGTGACGTAATGAGATTACATGGCCAGCTCATGCTATTTTACTCTAACCAGGACCAATATACTTTTGAAATATTCATGCTGTGTATATAACACATGATCTCATGTTTCACGCTGATGGTTTATGTCACGTGAATCAAACTGCAGTAAACTTGCGTCATCTGGCCTGTGTTTGCGCAGCGTGTGTTATGAAGTCCACAATTGGGGCTTTTTTGCACTGATAACTCTCCAGCATTTTTAATCAAATACGTAACTATTAAACAAGAAAGTTTATGTCAGTTCCATCCCTTTTTTAGAAGGAAAAAATGAATTGAGGTCACATCCATTTCTCTCTACGCAGACACACGCATAAAAATGAGACTCACTACTTTTAGTACCTTTCCAGAGCCTTCCGTCATGAGAAACTGTTTTTAACAAATCTGACAAACGGCTTAGGATGATCTAAAAAACAGATCTCTGTGGGGTCTCTGCGGAAGTCTCCCTCTGTCTCTAAATACCTCAGGGTATTTTGAAAGAAGATCAGTATAAGATCTCAGCTGTTTTCCTTCCCTGCCTCGGAAGATCATGTATCTTGTGCTAAGATCTCAATTATTACTCAGATTGCCCATTGATAAAGCTCTTTATAACCGCATTTCTAGCCAAATTATCAAAGACAACAAAGGAAATTTATAAACAAAGTATTTCCTCACAAAATGCTTTGACTACAAATAGTTTTCTTATCAGTGAGTCTGATCCGTAGCAACGGGCAAAAGCAATATTGTGTTTTTAGTGACTGAATTTGGCGTAGACAGGACAGCACTCTGTCTCAGGTACCACAGTCTTAAATTTAGCTGCATAACTTTAAATCACTAGTGTTAAGTCACATTATGCACAGAAACTATTATAATCAAAATGTCCTCTATACTTCAATTTCCACTTCCATTATATTATAGTCATTGTAACCCTTATTATTATGAATAACAATAGTCTTCCTCTAAATAACTATTCAGCGAGCATCCTGTTTACACGTAGCAAAGTCAAAAATACAAATTAAATGCAAATGACAACGTGCAACAGCCAATAGTGGCACAGTGCAGTTACCAAAAGAGGATTAGGGTTCTGAGTCTAGACCACAGTGTCACCACAGAGTCAAGACATGCGGCATCAGACTAGGTTCAGAGATGAGTCTTTGTCTTCAATGAGTTAAGCTGACTGTGGCTTTGCTTAAAGAATAACATTCAATAGTGCTTGAAGTTTTTCAACTTCTGAGCATGGAGGAACATTGTTTTGTAACAATTTTTATGATCAGGATATTATGGCCTGGACTTGGTTGCCCATTGCCTCACAAATTCTCCCGAGGGTGGTATTATGGCCTGTCACTTACTGTTACCAAGGAAAAAAATATCAACATCAACTCCTGAGTAGATAAAGTAAAGCAGAGTACAAGTACTAATAATATTTTCATATTTTGCTATTTGACTTTTTGTATTGCTTAAATTCACTCAACATTTATCACAAGCTCATGTGTTGACCTCAAATAGAGATGAACCATAATTGTAATATATATATCAGTACTATTCATATTTCCCATATCACAGAAGGCTTTTTGAGCCCTTGAAACTTGAGCTGATCAAACCAGATGGTCTTGGCAGATATCTTCAGCTTCCTGTACTTTCTCTCTTTGACCTTTCCCTATATAGTTGTTTTAAGAAAACACCTGAAAACTGAAACTGCATTCGTGTTTTTGAGATTAAGTGCTTGATAAGGCAGATAATATTAATGTATTTCGTCACTTTTCATTCAAGGCAGCTACTGTATGTGAACATCACACACTGCTATCCTTGGTAAGAACTCCGAAGTGGTACACACGCAGATTTGCATCTGTCCACTGTAATGAGTTGTGTAGAAAAAGCTCAATGTTGTCCCAGGAACGCCTCATTAAATAGGACGTCTTAGTCAAGAGAACAGTCAGAACCCAAATAATCCCAGAAAGGAAAGGGATACAGGAGAAGGATTTCACATTTATTTAGAGATCATCATGTCATTTGTATTCTCATCCAGAATGACGAGATGCACGATTTACAAAGCAGTGACAAACTCACTTATTTCTGATCACATTCGGAGTTTGAAAACGAGAACACAATGGAAGATATGTCATTATTAAACAAATCTACATTTAATTACCCTGATAGTGATAATGTAATAGAGAGATCATTGCATGAAAATGAATTCAACAAAAAAAATCCTTGTCAATCTTATCTATTTATCCATTGATTTGATCAGTGGTTACAGTTTATTGCCTTACAAACATGTGATTAAAACACAAAGAGACATTACGGCTTCTTAAAAATGAGAAGCAATACATTTTCTATATTATTTTTATAGTAGTCGCCCTGGTAGGGCTTTGTTCTTTGCAGGTTATAAAGCATCTAATATCAGAACGTGACTGTGTTCCAGAAAGATCCAGCGCTGGTCCGACCAGTAAACTCATTTGCAAAGGGATAAAGACAGCTGGAAAGCAGTGGCGGTAAAGATCAGTATTGGTGTAGGAGGTAGGATATAATAGTAAGAGGGCGGAGCATGATAATCAAGGGGCGGAGCATGATAATCAAGGGGCGGAGCATGAATCAGTGGTAAACATCAATGCAAAAGGAGACCGATAAACTCTGACATGTTTGTGGGGCCACATTGCGCAAACTGAGGGCTGTTTTTGTGCAGCCAAAAAAGTTAACAGTCACAAAAGTGCAGTAGCATTGGGGCCAGGTTGTGCTCCGAGACAGAAGTTGGCGTTTCAGATCAATTTGAACTCAGTTGTGGCGATACGGTCAAGTAGCTATTTAATATGGCAAGATGACACCCTGCAGTCTGAAGATTTACCTGGCGCGGGATATTCTGGGATTTTGTCTGTAACAGACCCATACATTATGGTGCAAAGTAAGCACAGACTTAGAAGTTTAGTGTGTGTCTCCTGCAGCTGAGGCTATTGACAGCTGAGGCTACAGATACCAAAAAGGTCAGAGGTCGTGAAGGCCTTGGAAAGCACCCAACCGCACACCTCTATCCTGAGCACACAGCTGCGTAAACCAACACTTTGCTGAGCCATGGTTCTCCTGGTGGGCTATAACTGATCACACCAGTATGGTCACAGATTAACCCATTATTAATCCAATGTACCGTCGTCTAAGGTCACTTTGACATCCTTATAATAAAAATGAAAACAAAAGAAAAAAAACATTCAGAGAGACAAAAAGGATAGGGGGAAATAAATATGTGATATGCAAAAGGAAATGAAAACAAAGGACTAGCATATCCAGTCATAAGGGCACAAAACAAACAAACAAACAAACTCAGAAGCCTCCTCCCCGGCTCCATAAAGATCTGAGAAGCCTCACCATTGTCCAAAGGAGGTCATGATCTGATCACTGTAGCTTTGAATGTAGTTGGACGTTACACCGCATGGGAACCTTCAGTCCCAAGTCCTGTGAATAGGTTTCCAGTCTAAGCCTCGCCACCGCCCCCCCCAGTGTCTTTTAAAATGGAAGTTCAGATTCCACTTGGCAAACACTGACTGGTCAAGCTCTTGTGGGCAGGGGAGGGTGAGGGAGTGCTCAGGAAGGAGTCAGCCAATCAGGTTTCGCTTCCATCTGCCATTGAGATTCATGACCTGAGCATTCGATTTGGGGATGACTCGACCCAAGAGGTTCAGAAGTAGACGTGTCGTGGTGTGAGTCACTTGCAGCCTTTGGCTCCTTCAGCCGTTGCTCCAGAGGGCTGGAACCACATCACTGTACACAGACATACTTCTTCCACCAAGACTTGGACAGGGTCTTCATCTTGTCCGCCGTGCTCCTCACCTTCCGCTCCCGCCGAGCTCGGCGGTCGGCGTGCTGCAGCCCGGCCGCGATGGCGGCATCGAAAACCTCCTTCAGGTTCTTCTGCGTCAGCGCTGAACACTCCACGTAGGCCACGGCGCCCACCTTGTCAGCAAGAGCACGCGCGTCCTCCTCGGCCACCGGGCGCTCACGGCGCTTGGCCAGCTCGATCAGCACCTTGACGTCCTGCCGTAGGTCACACTGCGTGCCCACCAGCAGAACGGGGACCCCGGGGCAACGGCGCCTGATCTCGGGCACCCACTTCTCCCACACGTTCTGGAAGGAGGCTGGGCTCACCACGCTAAAGCAGAGCAGAAGAGCATCTGTGCGGGGGTAGCAGAAGTGGCGCAGTTTGTCGAACTCATCCTGGGGAGGGAAATACGCGGGTGAGCCAGAGACAAATGGCAGAAGAACTTCTCCAAATGAATAGTCAATGCCCAAGCCTACAGTTCACAGACGATCAATCTGAGGGCAGATAAACTATCCAAACGACTACTGACTCCCTCTGCTAAGTGGATTAGATCAATAAAACCTTCCTCTCCAACAAATGAAGACAAGCAGTTTATGGATATGACCAATTTGCAGCAAATCATAAATCAAGAGGCACAGCAGCAAAGCAGCTCCCGTCGCATACGCACAGATGCATTTCCCCTAACATGTCAGCACAGGTATACGGTCGGGTGTTACTAGGGAACAAAATAGCCCCGAAGTTTCTACGAAATGTCGAAATTAGCTTTTATCCCAAGCGCTCCACCCCCCCCCCTCCTGTTGGCCTGCCGTTCCTGGGGCACGTCTGGCCAGACTGGAGACGCTGACACAGAGTCACACAATTCTGAATACAGGACCTCACTAATCCTTCAGAATCGCAGATTAAGTTGGGCAGGATCTCAAGACAAAATCATCCCCCCCCCCCCCCCCCGCCTCTCACACACTTAAATCTGCAGAAACCTCCCTGAACCTGGCAAAGGAAGGTTCTCAGCACAGACATGTTTCTAGACTGTGACCGTGGTCTTCACCTCTCCTACGTGCTATTAGTGTGTGATGCACATCTAGCTTGGTGGTGCTGCTTGGGGATGTGTAGGAGCTCGTATCTTCTCGTGTTTGTTCTAGCTTGTCCGACAAAGGAGCGAGCGCTTATCCCTATGTACCGACAGGGCGGAGCTTCGTCGTTGTCATGTTAACGGTGATAAAGGGTCACGACGACTTGCATTTCGGGCCCAACCGCAGCCACGGAGCGTGTCTCCCCTGAGACAAAACAACCCCCCTTCCACGCCTCCTCCTGGGGGCCCTTCCAGGCTTTTAATCGCGTCACGTCGCCTGCCAACTCGACCAGAGCCTTGCATAAGCAGCAGTTGCCAAACTGTTCTCCTCCTGAATGAATGCGACGACGCAACAGGCAAGGAGAAGGAGCTAGAATTTACACTCGAGGGCAGATCGTGTTGTTTCTCATGCGAGACGGCAAGAACTGACTGTTCCCGGGTCTCTTTACTCTTCCCTCCCTTGCCATCGGCGCAAATCCTGCACCGAGGTCAACTGATCTTGGTACATGGTATCTAAGCAGCACAGAAGTCTGCTCTCTTCTTTCCCCTTTCTGTTCCAAAGAGCCGTGGCAATTGATAGCGCTTGTCTCTACTCCAAGAAAAAAAAATGGTGGCACCTGCAAGCAGACCTAGTGATGTCAGAGCCCTAAGGGATGCAGGAACCGCTCAGAGAGAAAGGATGCAAGACAATCCAGGAAGGCCCAGAATCAGCCTGAGAATGCTATGATTCAATAGGTTTTAAGAACGGTCCTCCACACTCAGTGGATTATTACAGCGGATAAGTGGAGACACATACATTTGTGACAATTAACAGGGTCTTAAGTTGTTCAAGAATATTACCAGCATGAAAACGTTTCAGATAAGGAAATATAGGATCTCTGACCAAAATTTGTTCTCATTACCCATAACAAAGGAGCAGAAAGTAGGGTGTACCCCATCTCAGATGTTTAATTACAGCCGTAGCGTTAATTTAGCTCTAAATGTATCTTCAAAGATTTAATTACACAAGGATATTAAAAATGCATGCACATACGGAGCACGCCAAACTCATTTCATTGCCTGCACTTACTGCTTTTTGCTGTACTGTTGTGCACTTGATAAACTTTAATTTGTAAAACCGTGGTTCTAGATAAGAGCCATGATGGTGAACACAACTACGATCTTCAGGAGTGTGGCATCAAAAACACCCAGTGTGCATCTCCAGGAGACTTTTTCACAAAGCGGGATTTCTTACTTAGCTGGATAACTTGTTGGATTTAAGCAGTCTGAGCTAAATCTAAGTAAACAAAGATACATTCTATTTAGCGCAGACCACCTTAAATCCGAAAAGTTTTCCGGCCATGCAAGATATCATGCTCTGGGAAACAGGCCTCTAGTCGGCTTTTCCCGGCACCCACCTGGCCAGCAGTGTCACAGAGCTGCAGCCTCACCGGGTTCCCGTCCACCTGCACCACGGCTGTAAGAGAGAGGGGGGGGGGGGTTTCGAAATGTCAGACCCAGACAGCTCAGGGGTTGTTAGTCTTTCCCCACTACCAGCCATGATCGTCTGCAAACACAATGGCCTATAGTTTCTCCAAGGTCAGACCGGGCTTCCGGCTTCTAAATCCACTTTGCCGTACATCATACGAACGGACGTCATCGCGGCCAGAAATTGAGTCGGCCCGCTCAGGAATGAAGGCTGTTGACGCAACCAGGCTAGTCCCACTAAAACCCAAATCCCTCAATGACCCCTATATAGCAAGGAGCACATAAGTGGTGGCCTTGTCCCTTCCATGCATGTTCTCTTTCTCTCTTTGTACAAGGCCACAGTCATCAGCAGTTGGGGCTTCCACCTCTACGTCTTTCTGCCAGGGGTGTTTATAAGGATGGGCAGCCTGTAACTCACACCGCAGGAGGAAGGGAGAAAAAAAATCTGCCCATGTCCCTCATACAGTCTGCCAGGCTCCTCAGTCTCAGCTGAGGCCATAGGAAAGCAGACCGCAAACTTGGGTATACACAAGGAACGCGCAAGTAACCAATCACGACTCCCGCTCGCACCTGCTGGTGGGGGAAAAGAAAAAAAAAAAAGAAAAAAGATTTGCTTTCAAAATGCAGAAATGCAAATCCTTCTGTCTGGCCTGGTCTCACACACAAGCCAGCAGCAGAGCCATGACATCACATACCTGAGCACAGCCCACCGTGAAATAGATATTCTGTCATGGTACCTGAAGGAGAATCCATTGGAAGCGATTCCCTGACAGATGCTGCGATTCAGCGCCATGTCGGCTTAACCGACGATATCGCAACATAAGAAAAATTATAAATTTATAACCCTTATTGATTCTTTTAATGAGCACACTTGTTGGTATAAAAAAAAAAAAAATTCTGTTTCTCATTTAGGATTCTAGAACCTACTTTGTGGGAAAACACCGGATGATGGTGACCCCCACCCAGAGATTAGGAGCCCACAGGCATGTGTGCAGGCGGTCACCCGGAACAGGTGACATATCTACAAGGATCAAAATCACCACTGTGTCTACTTCCAGATAGGAAAACAAAAGGGGAACTTTCAATCTGATTTTAAAAGGAGAAAAATTATTCTGCAAGGACTGAATTTGTGTCTCATCCGCCCCCCAACCTACTATATTATCAGCATTATAATCAAAAAGGACTGCAGGGGATTCTGAAGTGAAAGAGTTTCTCATTGTTAGAAATGCGTATCTAGGACGATATTCCAGAAAAAAAAACACCTAAGAGAAAAACCTGGAAAGGACATCTGCACTCTGACTTGGCAACATGGATAACAGGCTTTACAGCTGGCCTGCTTTCCGGCGGTGACTCTGCAGCTGTGCAGAGAGACAGCAGAAGACAGCAGTACGGCGGGTGGCCCCCGGATCAAAGGGCTGCGCGAGATGCAATTGTCCTCTGGGCTGTTATTTACATTATTACTTTGTCCTGCAGCTGCTTTTAATAGGAAAGTAGGTGACACACACAAACAGGTGGACAATGAACTTAACTACCCTGTCGCGGGGGGTGGGAGGGAAGGGACTGCAACGCCCCTAAGAAGACCCGTACCTGTAACCTCTCAAAAATCGAGTCTCTCAATCATTACGTCTTATCTGCAGCCACATCACCTTTAGATTTTTTTCTGACATCGCTTTACGTGATTCAATCAAATTCTTCCCAATATTTAACAAGTAAAAAAAATACATTAATATATAAAATTTATAAAAAATATTTATATAAAAGGTCTTTTAGTTTTATGATATGGTACAGGTATTACACAACTGTTTTATGAAGTACTTTGTGCAGAAGTCACCGCGATCCGTTTTGCGCCGCGTGTCCAGAACTTTGACCTCAGTAGGCAAAACAAACTAACATCCCAACCTCATATCTGACTACTCCATAATCAGGATATTTTAAAATTGGCAAGTATCTAAGTATACCCGCACACTTGATCTAAATATCCCATTAATAAGCGCTCAAGTTGTACGCCAGTGATAAAGCGATAAATTAAGTTTTAAAAAAAATCAACTAAGCAATAGTGATTCTTTGTCGGAGGAGAAATTACCTGAGAAGTCATCGAAAGCCGTGGGCACGTACTTGGTGGGGTAGCCATTGGTGGTGTAGCTGACCACCAGGCTGGTCTTACCCACCGCCCCGTCGCCCAACAGCACGCACTTCAGCAGCCGCTCACCGGCCTCCGCGGGACGCGCAGCTCTGGGTTTGTGCGGCGGCACCGGCGGTGCCATCAGTTTGCTGTAATCCACCGAGTTCGGAGACGGCATTGCTGATTTTTCACGCCCTTTTCCTCACCCGAGAAAAAATAACTTTTTTTTTTTACCATCAAAAAAAACTATCAGGCGAAACAACCGCTTTACCGTCCCCTTTTAATTACATGCGAATTGTTTCAATACAGCTTAAAATATTCATGCAAAAAAAAATGAAAGCAGTTCTTTTCACTGTCTCACTTCCCAGACTTCGTAATCAGTCCTCCAGGTTCTCAAACTGATTTTTACCAAGGTTTTGCTATTTAAACCCTGGCTTGATTTGCCTATTCCCTCCCCTTCTGCCTCCGTGTTTGATTCCAAGCGTGCGCACACGGGGCCGGCTTAAGCTCAAATGTTCGAAATATCATTGATAAAAAACTATGAATTATATATTCCGACAGCCTTAAGAGACGATTAAGTCCACTCTGTTAACGTAGTAGCAAAACCTTTAAGCATCTGGAATAATATGCGTGTACTAGCCTACATAAAAACATCGCAGCTATGTGTATAGCCTATTAAGTAATATGTAGTATATTGTTTTGAAGTAGTTTTTTAATTGTCAATTAGAATTTGATACCTGAAAACATTTTTCAAAAATAGCACCACAAAACGTCAATTTAAAATTAATACATTAGATCTAATGTTCAATTTACGCTATAAAAACTAAACTTTGTTTTAGATAACCAATTAAACAAATTAATAGATCGGGGCAAACGCGAATATCGCTGGCAAACGCTGGTAAAAATGAATGAAAAACTATCATCCGTAATTAACCCACCATTTTAAGGAATCGCTGCCTATAGCGATACTGGGTAAATATAATCCCCCGTAAAAGGCGACATTCTTTAGAAAATAATAGATGGGACCTTTCCAAGAATACCACAAGCTTTAAGGTCAGTGAAAAAAATATAAATAACCCTGGTAACAATAATTTAAAATATCTGTTTAAAATTATTGACATATTAATAAAACATAAACTAGAAAATGCGAACTGGTCCAATTCACTTAGGCTTAATCTATATATAAAATAATACACTAGTTATTTTAAAAACATGACCGGACTTGCCTGCCACCCTGCAAGGGGCTGCTTTCTCAGTCAACTCCAACGCTGCTGTTTATAATTATGAAACAAAAGGTTTGCTATTCAAGTCATCACAAATGCAGGACTGCCGACTGCATTAGTTATTCATCAGCACGCTATATTTGAGAAATAGACTGACATAGGCCTAGCTGTTTTTTAAGCGACATGAATTCTCGATATTGTTCATTCAGTTGTCTACTTTACTACAAACATGAGTAGGCCTATCTGTTAATAAGAGTATGATGTATTGGCAGAGTAGCCCAGAGGGTTCGTATCCCCCAAGGGACACGGCAGTTGTACCTTGAAAGTTATATATCTGTTTTAATATTAATAGTTTATATATGTTATAATTTTAAGCAAACAATAAGTCCGGGTGTTTTCATCATGGATTTGTTTTTCCCCGCTGTTTACTTGCTTACAGCAAAACCACGAGGATCAAAACACAACCGCTACTCTTAATCAGATTTCAACGATTTTACTAAACAAGCCATTTTGATTCAATAATAGTAAAATTTCTAGCTGTACAATTTCAAAAGTAAATACATGTGAATGTAAAACAATATTTAAAAATATTATGACACTTGATCCCAGCATTGATTTTCGTAAAGCTTAATATAGAGACGCGAGTAATACGTCATTTCTGGCAGGCGAAGGTTGCCAGACTTTTGTCAGCCATGACATGCACTGTCAACGAGCGCCATCTTTCGGTTAAATTTAATGCAGCTATACCATCGCTGCACGAAATATTAAATGTGTCCTCGGGCAAGAATTGTTTATTTAAGCTTGATATGCTCGGTATTGGGAGAGAATTGTTAGGATCAGTCCCTGTCCTGTCCTGTCTTGTCTGTCATTTACCTGCTTGGCCAGCAGGTGGCGCTAGTCATCCCTTTCCTAGCGTTTGAAACCTTCCTGACTGCTTAAGACCCACACCCGAGCCTTGTTATTCCTAGCCTGCACCTTTGTCAATGGCCCGCACCTATTTCTTGTGTAGTCCCAGTTACCTGTGTGTATATGTGGCTGCCCTTGCCATCGTTCCAAAATTGGTCATTGTGGAGTTTGTTTGAAATAAAATGGCATACACAAGTACTCAGCTGAACTCTTCTTAATATTGCTTAGTGTAATCCATGTATTATCAACCATTCCTGCAAAAACAACAATGGATGGTGCATCATAAAAATGATTTTATCCATAAAATTTTTCATCTCTTTATTGCAAGAATCAATTATATTATTTATGTGTAATTACAAAAAGAAATCCTAAACAGATTATTCATAAATTCATCACAGTACAGTAAGGTTTGTTAGATCATACTTGTTTTTTTCAGTCAAGTCAAAGTCTCTTGCATGTTCATGTACCTTCCATCGATCACCATTGATAAGGCTACAGTAGATAATCCCCGCACCACCAGGGGGAGCTTACGTTTTGGACGTCATTTTTACAAAATACTCTCGGTTATAGTCAGAATTTTCGTCTCTTTAGTCCACATCCAGGTAGTCGCACTTTTCTTAAAGAACCTTAGTGCAGTGGGATGTTTTAAGTTTATATCGGAACAGTTCTCTTCTGATCAAGGAGGAATTCAGTCAGTCCCAGCCTCAGGTAAAAGTGATCTGGATGAGATACCACTGTCGCTGCATATCTGAGCGCGCGAGGGACGTGCAAGGACACTGCGGCGTGGCAAAACCCGGAGTAACCCATCCTTTTGTACTATTTCATTTCGCAAAGGCACACACAAAAGTACCTTTGTGCACAAATGTACATGCATACATACATCTGAGCATACATACGGAACCAGATTTCTTTAAAGTTTAAGTTTTTTTTTTTTTAAAGCAAATGAATAAGATACGAACATTAAGGCAAGCGAAAAATCAGCCCACCTCTAAATGACATTCTCCAGCATAGCTCCAGTAAACTTTCATCGTGTATTACCAGTTCATAATGTAATACATGCACAAGACAGACCACTGGACGCAAGCGCCCGTTAAAGGGGTACCGGGAGACTCCGCTCCTTTGGGTGCAGCTCGGTTTCGAGTCTTTAGGCTACCTAAAGACAAACTAAATACATTTGATACATTTTTAAATATTACTTGATTTATGTATGCTTTATTTATCAATTTTTTTATATATTTCTAAGAATTTTAAGTGCCCGATATTTATGCAATGTTTGGGAAATATTAAAATGAGATTTAACATTCATTATCACTAAATTTTAGTAACAACTTTATATACCTGTTCATTGCAGTCTTAAAATATTCAAAAGGTACTTCTAACATTATAGTAGGCTATCATATATAAATACTAAATCCACTGTTCGATTGGTCTTGCAGCTACTGACGAGTTTCTGTAATGCTCTGGACCCACCAGCTACACTCCCCGGACATATATTTGTGCAGCTCTTAAAACTTTGCTACTGATTCTTCTGTTCCTCACACTGAACGTCCCCACGTCAGCCTGATTATAATTAATAAATGCACTTTGATGATGGGCTAGAGACTAATCCTGAAATGGGGTTAAGATCAGCACTCGTGGGTTTGGGCCTCCCTGATAGTAAAGCTGTGAAGTCCGTTTTGAACTTGACATATTTTCATACAGTCGAAGCTAAAGCTGAAAAGATCCAGATCAATGGAGCCGCGGGCTCACCGCAGCTGTGGACCCAGGCTGTGTGTCACCTCGTTATTGAGAGCCACGGTTGAGTGGTAGTGACATCATTCCACCACTAGGGGGTAGTGTGTAAGCTGGCCAGCTGCTGGCTGCATAAGCGAGCGGTAGAGGGCGAGCTCTCTACCTTAGAGGCACGATGGGTGACACTGCACACAGCCAGATCTGATAAAAGAAGCATCACTCAACGAAAAAAAAACACCAAGAAGAAGAATAAGGGGTGTTGCCATGACTGATTTTTCCATATATTGCATGATGAACCCATCCAATTGGAATCTGAAGTGTAACTGCTATGGCCAGTAGGACACATACAGGGGGGAATCCAACCAAGAAAATGATGTAAGCTGATATAACGATGTAATGCCTGGTTGTGTACCCTGCTATGTCTGTTTCCCATTCCCACTGATTTCCTCCATAATTCAGTTAAAGCCTGTGTTCATGTTCATGAGCTTAGCCTGTTTTCTAGCCCCCCGGAAACAAGGCTATGAAACCTCCCGAACTCATGTCAGCTGAACTGGGAGTGTGAGTCATTCCAAGATCCTCACACGCCTGACTGTCTCCAGGAAAAGGAAGTGGAAACGTAGTAAAAGGAGACTATTATGTATTTTAATTGCACTCTTGGGTGACAGACTAAGAGAGCTGCAGGTTCCCACTTGACATCAGGCCAACGCACCAAGCCTCACACTGGAATCCATCACCTCTGTGCTCGGAAGCCTGATGGTTCGCCTGCTTATCGGTCCCTCTTCCCGGCCATGAGCCGACTCCAGTCTTGCGTCGGCTCAGGGAGTTTCCCGGCTAGCCTTCGAATGATGTCATAATGTCGTGGCTTCTCTGATTGGATGAAGGTCCCTTGCAGGCCTGCCTGTGTTCTGACCTTCCGCCAAGGATTGGAGCTGCCCTTTTCATCAGCAGCAGTGTTTCTTTGTCTCACTGGTCCAGTGAAACTTCTTATTCCCACTGGATCCCACCAGAAACTCCAGGACCAAAGATTCTGACACCCCCCAACCATCTATTTCTATGAGGCTCATCCTTTCCCCCCTCCCTCCCACATGTACTCCTCCCCCAAGCCATGCGGACACAGGCTGCTGATTAAGACATGTGAGTGGCAGCCTGTGGCTTCACCCCGGCCCCCTATTTTATTTTGGGCTTGGCTCCACCGGGGGTGGGGTCATGGTCCAACCCGGGACTCCCACCTTGACACAACCTGTGAAAACTGTCAGAGGAGAATATAGAAAATGAAAATACAGCTTTAGTCATATTATTTAACATTTCGGTGAAATTATACCAGGGGTCATTCAGAAACTTAGTGAGTTAATTGCTGGGAGCAACTGGCTTTATAAAAGGCGTAAGTCAAATGAGTATTTTTTACAATCTGCTACATATTTTTCACGTAACATAGTTTTAATAAAGGAATTATGGTAACACTTTACTTAGAGCAGTCATATAACTTGCATTATGCATACCGTCATAATGCATTGTAATGCATTCATAAAGTATTATAAACACGGCTACAAATAGTTATAAAAAGGTATAATATAGCCATGATTATTATGTATTATGAAGGTATTTATAGTGCTTTACAGTATATATGAGAGCATTCATAATGCATAATAAACATGCTTATAATGTATTATACCTTTTTATAAATAGTTATAGCCGTGTTTACAATACTTTATGAATGTGTTATAATGCATTATGAAGGTATCTATAATGCAGTTATATGACTGCTCTAAGTGTTACCGGAATGCTCTTTATATTCCAGTCTCCTTGCATGAAAGTAACTGTAATATCGACAAGAGTAATTTTTCAGACTCTTATTATCAGGCTTGTTTGAATATTGTCCCACATACTGCCACATATACTCACATATCTTTGACATTATATATATGCCACATATACTCACATATCTTTGACATTATATATATGCCACATATACTCACATATCTTTGACATTATATATATGCCCCTTGACCGCTGCCAGAAAATTGTCAATCTGTGCCTGTTATTATAAAGAGAAGATTGTGTGAGTCACAAATATCAAAGCAGTGCAATTGTGAAATTTAAATCCAATTCAAAACTTAATATTAAATTCCAAAAAGGCCCATCCCAGTAATTGGGCTGGACAGAAAGCCAGTTTGTCACAGGAGGGAGGAAAACAGAGACATGATCCCAGGGAGAACATGCTGATGCCAAACCCAGAGAACCAGGATGGGGGTCAATCCCACAGGCCATGAAGCGTGAGCCACCCCACGAGCCACGGTGCCACCTATTCACTCTGATTTTCTGTATTCAGCAGCATTTCTGGTATCCTTGGCGCCCTGTGCGACATCCGACCCAGCTGCTCGGATGTGCAGTTGTGCGGGCATCCCTTGAACGATGCTGCCCCGGGCAACTGCCCATCTAGCCCTTGCCAGGCCCATGCCCGTGTTTTAGGTAAGGCTATTGCCAATTCACATGTCCCATCTCTCAGTAATGTTTTGCCTGGCGATCGTTAGGCGCATTGGCACCGGCTTGTCATCGCCTCCCTGCTCCCCAGTTGTGTCTCAAATCTTATGACTTGGCTAAGTGCCAAGTCGCACTGTCTATCACTCCAATTTGTCTCTCCCTGCCGGCCCCTGGAGGATGGGCTCCCCCTCTGAGTCTGGTTAGGGTTAGGGCTTCCTCTGCTGCCCCCTGGAGGATGGGCTCCCCCTCTGAGTCTGGTCCTTCCCAAAGTTTCTTCCTTCTAGGGAGTTTTTCCTTGCCACTGTCCCCTCTGGCTTACTCACTGGGGGCTTTGGGCGGGGATGCTGTAAAGCGCTTAGAGACAATGTAATGTTGTGATAACGCGCTATGCAAAAATAAGTTTGTTTGTTTGTTTTCAGAGTGGCATTTTGTCAGTGGTCTTTTGACATAGTGTGTCCAACAGTAACAGCCTGTGCCAACAAAAATGTATCCTGGTCTTTGTCATGTGACAAAAAAGATTCTGAATAATCTGATAGAGCTGGGCTTTTGAAGCCCAAACCCCCAACCTATCTCCAAAGGTTATCCAGTGTTTCCCAACCCAGTACTCCTGGACTCCCAGACAGTCCACACTTTTGCTCCCTCTGAGCCTCCAGCCAATCAAAAACTCAGAATGCCTAATGTGGGCGTGTTGGGAGCTGGATGGTAACAAAAATATGGACTGTCTGGGAGTTCCTGTGGACTGGGTTGGACAATAGTGGGCTAAACGTCTTCACCCTCTTTCCATTTGGAGTGTGTGGTTCAGATCAGTCAATGTCTCCCAAGAATTGACTTAGCAGCAGTCCAGGAACTGACTGTGGGGTTTATTTTAGATCTGGTAAACAATTAGTCTTAAAATATAATTTTTTATGCCTGAATATCAACTGCAATAAGGACAAAAGGTGGATTTGTCACTCCTGACCAAAGCAAAGTCATGAAAACATACATAACAGCGTAGAACTACTGTGAAACAAAATATGTATTAAGATATGCAGCGAATATGTCATACTCTGACATTCGTTCCGCCCATCAATAGTCATTAATAAGTCATAAGCACATGTTTGTGCTTGAGCCTAGGGGAGGGTCATACCTTGCGTTGTCTGTAGAACAGCGGGATTGAGAACACAGCGATGACACCTGAGGTGGCAACAGACGGACAAAAGATGTAGGAGGTGATGCACAGTTTGCCTGTTTATACTTCAGGGAACACAGATTGGAAAATACCCACTGTTCTGATTTTCCCACAGTTCTTTACAAACACTTCTCGCACTGTGAATTTGTAGGTGGCTCAAGTGAGCTAAATTTGGGAAAACAATTGAACAGGCTGTTAAGTTTGTAAGAAATAACATGGTGGCGTGTAAAAGGACTCAGGACAATGTAGTAGGAGAACAGTATGAGTGTAGTATTAGTAGAAAAATAAGTTTAAAGCTAACGGTAAATAAAAATTACCTAATAGAGAAGCGGTGGGAGTGAGTATAGTGAGGGAATAAGCAGAGTTACTGTGTGTGTTTTTTTTATAGGGAGTAGGGTGAGAGTGACGTGCGAGGAAAGACAAGAAGAGAGATCATAACAACGGTTGCCATGGGACACACCCATCAGAAGGGACTTACCGATGATCATGATGGTTAGTCCATTGACGATGGCTCCCACGTACGTCAGCAGATATGCCAGCACCAGGAACTATTAAAAGCAAAAACACAAAATGCATCACACTACTGCAGTGCTTATCGCACACTCAACGTATCAGATAATTAGCTACCTGTAACTGGACAGTTTACTTAGATAGAAAGCAGCTTGTTCCAGGTGTAAATCAATTGGCAATTGAGAAGAAAATTAACAACAGGGCAGCCCCTATGGACAGGAATTAAATGTTTAGCTATTTATCTGTGTAGCAAAAAAATATTTACTCAGAAGAAAATACTTAACATTAGAATACATGCAAATGAACAATAACACAAAAAATAACAAGAATTTCGTCTTTTCTCTAAAAGTCACTGATATCTTCTTGGATGGCTAGATGAACGCTGCTTCAATTCCCAAACCTCTAATTGGGCACCGCAGCCTTTCCATGTGTTGGTTTAATTTTACCACCAGCTCTCTTAATTAATTAACGTAATTAATGAAATAATTTGATGCAGTATTGATGGCGTGCTAGTGGTTGTGTCAATTTCACGGGCGTTTTGGACGGTTGCTGCAAATACTGGCTTGAGGAGAGGTTCTGAAACGGCTAAGCTGACATACCCTGGCAGGCGTAGTCTCACACCAACGCGAAGATCATTCAGACACAACCCGCTTTGAGTGACTACGACTTTTGCACAGTCCTGTATCTCCTCATTGACAGTTGGATAAAAAAAATAGCACGGCACGTCTTGCAGAGGTTTATTCTGCGACCGCTCAGGTTTCCTCTGTTGTGTCGCAGTCCGCCTGCCTCTCTCCTGAACTCCCTCTCACTCCCTTAAAGGTCTCGTGTGTCTCATGTCACATAACTGTCAGTTCAGAGTTCAGCATCATAGCTGATATCAAATGGCTGGATCAAATAGCCAGGCAATAAGAGCACTAGAGAGGCACGTATGTTAGCATGCTGCATCATTCAAATGGCACATCAATGCTACTTTACGAGGCAGCAGATGCATTTTATTGAAAAGATCAGGGTCCTTGTCAGGGACCCAGGTGTGACCCGATTACTCTGCTCAAGGACGCGAACCGATGACCTTCTATACGGAAGTTCAAATCCCTATCCTGCTAAGCCAGACACAATCCCGGCTAAACCCGCTTAGTGGGGATGATTATCACACGTTTAGCCGGCAATTCATGGACACAAACAGAACCTGAAAAAATGCATGTACTTGTTCTCTTTGGACACTCTTTCCACTCTAAATTAGCACTGAGAGAAAAAGGAAAAAATGACATAAGGAGGAGGAGGATTAAAGAAAGGATGTGAGAGAAGTAGCAGAGACACACTGATGGCGAGAGGATGAAAGGACACAAATTTCACTTTGCACTTTGTAATCTCTTGACATTGACAGTCCAGCTCTCGTCAAACCTGGCCTCCTTCCCAACAAGCGTGTGCAATCACTGCAATTATCCTTACAAAAGCCGGCATTTTCAGCTGGGCTGCAATCGGCGTGACATCGCCATGTCCGGGCCGCTTCTCGCTAATGCGCTATGCCGGTTAGCGCGCCCATGAGCCGGATGATGCCAATGCGGCCAGCCAGCGTGCTCAGCCAATGAGTTAATGAGCTACCCCCTGATGAGTGGGCAAGCCCGGAAAGGGGGAGGGGCTAGGCTGGGCTGCGGGGTGGGGCTGTGCATCGGTGCACCATGTGCCCAACAACCAAAACGCGGGCAGATCAAGGGACAGAGATGAGCAGGTACTCAATGAGAAGCACAAAAGTTTTTTGGGTATGTTTTGGGTATCTACATCACACAAGGCCTTGCGTGACTCTTGCAAAATTTTTGGCGTATATATATCAGCAATATACCTTCAAAGAGTTGACCAGGTTGGCGACGAGGAGGAGACTCTTCATCTCCGCGAACGTGGAGAACGACAGGACGATGGTGCGCCGCATGTAATGATCTGCCTTTTCCCCAGTCAGGCTGATGTCATAGTCGAGATACCACCTGAAGAGAGAGAGACGGTCCGGGAGGAACAGCGGAGAGCACACGTTCCGTGCTGCGGGTCCGTGTTCCGTTCCAAACACTGCCATGCCCACCACTATACTGACATAACATAAACCTTTAGCTTTCAACCTAAGGGGGGTAATTATCCAACATTACATAAAATTCACATAAGCAGCTGGACCAAAGGGGCTGAAAGTTACAGGTAGGCCTGCTTTTCAGACCTTCCAAAAATCCATTTGCTAAGTTAATACCATCCAATATTTTTTTGGTAGTAACCAAAGGTTTGGAATTGGTGGTGGGTATCCCTATGTAGGGTCCATAAGGAAAAATATTCTTGGCTGAGTAATATCTAATCATCCATCCATCCATCCATCCACTATTGCAGGAAACACGGGACTGATGGGATGCCAGTAGTAAAACATACATATTTATACATACATTTGGTAACAAAGTATCAAGCTGCAGACTTTCCAAAATATCATAAAAACATCAGAAGAGGCAGCATTATGAAGCATATTCAGAGACCCCCCCAGAGCATGTGACTGGGGGGTGTCCCAGAATTAGGTGTCCCAAAAAGGCAGCCCACTCACTGGAAGGGGTGCACACCATCCCCCCACTGCAGCGCGTGCAGCACGTGGTAGTAGATGCGGACGGAGATGGTGAAGCACATGGTGACCAGGCACAGGGTGGACACCACGGTGATGATGCTGAGCTGGAAGAGGGAGAGCAGACCCACCACCAGCCCGGTGAAGAGCAGGCCTGTGCGCTCCATGTCCTTCCAGTAGATCAGGTCCAGGACTGAGGGGGCGGGGGTTGGGAGGGGGGAACAGCAAAGATGGAGCGATGTGTTATGAAACAGGAGTGGAGCCAATTTATCTGAAATCGGCAGATAAAATGAAAACGACCCAGAAAGGCTAACAGTAAAGCAAGAGAATAACGGAGGCAGAAGCGGAGAGAGACCCTCTGGCAGAGTGTGGCCTTTTAGCATAGAAACCATTTTTAAAAGGCTGGGGGAAATATGATTACACTAAAGCTGTCAAGGAGGAATCAGGTGAACGTGGGATATTACCCACAATTCCCATCACCTCATTCCTGCCCAGTAATTACAGCAACCCCTCAGTGGGATGTTTTTAAGCTATTGAAGCACGGGTTGTAGGCGGGGGTCTCTTGCCCCCACTTGCCTCGGAAATGTGGAAGGCCCTCGGCCTGCTGGGGG